CGCGCAACCACAACATCCCGAGTGCTGCGGTTTGCGTCATGCGGTTTGCGTCAATGTTCTCTGACGCGACCAACGCTTGGCCCTGATCCAGCTGCTGTCTGGGGTGCCTTCAATATTGGTCCCGCTAATCAAAACACGGCGACCGACGAACACGGCGAAGAATAAACCGAGAGCGACACGAGATGGAGGCATTACTGGGAGCCGACAAGTCCAACTACTCGTGCGGCTCCGTCGCCGACCTCCAGGCCCAGTTGCGTGATCTTCTCGGCTCCAAGGTGACAGGCACGCGCGCCGAGCACATCGCCGTCACCTTGAAACTGCGGGCAACCACCGTCTTCGATGTCCCCGTCACCGAAACTGAGAACGAGGTGCTCGAGAGCGCCGCCAACATTGACCCGCTGCTTGGAGGCCCCCGGTCGAGCGTTGCGCCCGCTTCGGACGCGGCTGGCGCCCCGCCGACGCGCAAGATCAATGCCATCGACACCCTTTTAAACAAACCTTCCGACGATCACGTGCTGCAAAAATCCCTCGCAAAGCACGTCGTTGCGTCGCTGAGCGAGGTCGATGGCAGCAACTGGACGGTGCGCGAGGTGTCGAGAAACGACCAGAGCTGGACCTTTACGTACATCTGCAAAGACTCGTGGCAGGCATGGAGCCGCCAGAACTCCAAGAATCCTGCGCGAACCGTCATTGGCGAATGGACTAACAAGGAGGGAGACTTCAACTTGGGTGAGTGCTCTCTTCCCCGTTCTTCGACTTTTTTGTTCCATCATCCGTTAACATAGCGTTATCAAGGCCGTCCGGCTTTCGATTGTCGAGGCTCCTTGACAATTGCCTTTGTCAGGTCAACCAGGTCCATCGACGTGAAATATGATCACACGCCGATCCATAAGACGGTCAGCCAGTTGATAGAGCTTCTTGCGCCGCCGCCACCTGAGGCACCTCCTCTTGTCCTGAACAGGAAGGCACTGAAGGAACCAAAACCGCCCAAGCCACCGAGGCCACCCAGAGCCCCCAAGCCGCCAAAGAAACCAAGAGCACCTAAGGAGCCAAAGGCACCGAGGCCCCCAAGACCGCCAAGAGATCGAAACGCTCCCAATACATTGAGATCTGGAAGAAAGCGACGAGCCGAGGAGAATGGGGTCCCGGGAGGCGAGAGCTCACAGCCGAAAAAGCGGCGCAAAAAGAAGGACTCGGCAGCCGCTATTGCTGCAGACGGAACAGTAATGCCTCCGGAGATGCCTAGCGCCTTGCCCGTGGGGCAATTATCAGAGCGCCAGCTTTACAACAACGATCAATCCCAGGACATGGGTACCGGACTGGGCGGCTCCGCGGCCTACCCCGAAGGCCTTGTGGGGTCTGCTACTGCCAATGACACGAATTCCCGTTCCGACTCGGAAGCCGTGTCGGTCAACGGCGGTGTTCACAGTCATTCGGTCTTCGATCTGGCTCCGGGAGAAGCGGCGAGACGTCGGGACGTTGCGATCAAGCTTCTCAACGATGAGAGCGTCGACCGACAAACCCTGTCTCCCAAGCAATTTAATATATTCGCTAATCAGTCACCGGAACTCCAGAAGGAGTCCTTGGCCATGCTTGTCAAATATGGAGCGGAGCGGTTGCGCATCATCCACCCTATTAAGGGTGATACGACGTCTGGACAAAGCACCCCGTCCGCACAAATGCAGGGTAGTCCGGCAGATTCTGCGTCAGCGAGCGACCAGGCGCAACCAGTACTTTCTTCTAGCCCCTCAGAATCGAAGAAATCTCGGAAGAGAAGATCGGGGCAAGCAGACGCAAGTGCGCTTAACGAAATGGAAGTCGAGGCCACAGAGGCTGCCGCAGCAAGTGACAAAAGAAAGAAGACCCGAGGACCCTGCGATACCTGTCGCGGTAGAAAGACAAAAGTTTGTCGTAACAGGAACCCCTGAGCTTGAAATAAAATTAACCACGTGCGCAGTGCGACAAAAAGAAGCCGTCTTGCTCCCAGTGCCTAGAAGAGGGGCTGTCATGTTATTATGCCCCTGCGAAACCTCGACAGAGCCGGGCCGCGAAGTCTGTTGAAGAGGACATCGAGCCGGCAACCGAGCCAGCAGTTGAGTCGGTTGAGTTAGCTGCTGTAAATGTAGACATGGACGTGGACGACGAGCCGGAAGACTTGGGATCACCTGGCTTCCACACCGAGCCTGCTGAACTCCCGCCGTCCGAGCTCGTGTCGCCTCCCGTCGAATCGGCCTCAGTCAACTTCCAGCACAGCCACGGCATGTACCAGCACTCAACTGGCTTGACTTACCCTCGAGCTACAGAGACTCGCCAACCCAGCTTACCACCTGGCCCAATAGAATACATACCAACAACGGTTGAGGATACGTCAATGCAGAATTACACCTACCCTCCACCTGCGGAGCCATCGCATATGGGCTATACGGAACAGCCCGCCACGATAGTTCAGCAAGGGCCGCCGCCTATTGAGAAAACCCGTAGTTCTCGGTCGAGGCGCAGCCTCTCATCTGGGCCTGCTGCAAACGTCACATCTACCAACAATGGAACCGGAGGTACTCAGCTTGACAACTGGCAGACCGTCAACCAAACCGTGACAACGACTCCGGCGCCCGCTCCGGCGCCCGCTCCCAGACTGAGGACCTCCCCGAGACGTACTAGAGCTAAGCAGTCAGTAGTACAGGAGTCAGGTTCTCAGGGGTACGATGATGTCCGCCAGAACTCAAGCTGGCAGACCGCGTCACAGCCTGTGGCTCAAAATACCGCCCAGCTTGCCCACAATCCTCCCTACGGTGGTCAACCAACACGTGCCAAATCTCGCCAAAGCAATCGAGCCCAGACCTACACCCCGGTTCAGAGCGTCTCGGCAGCCCGACCCAGCCAACCTCAGGCAAGCCAGGCTCTCCCAGAGAACACTGCCTATACTTCGACAACGGCGGCAGATTCGACCGCTGCTGCAGGATACAGCGGTTATACAGAATATCCTAGTGCCCAGGCTGACACAGCTAACAACCGTGTCGCCTATGAGCCCTACACGCACAGCCCGCCCTCGGCCGTTCCGAACTCGTATTCGTCCTATGACAGCTACAACATGCGTTCAGCCAATGCCAATTCATCAACGGCATTGTCAAACCCCGTTGCACAGGGCGTGACCTCGTCCTATACCAACTCGAGTACGGCAGCAATGGCATCTAGTGCCACGCAATGGGGGACCGCTAGCTCGGCCTCCCAGCCACGCGACTCTCATTCTTGCAACGCCAACCCGTCCACATCGTCAGGCACTTCATCTTACAATATGTCTTCGACCAATACCCAGCAACCACAATCGCTGCAGGGATTAAGCGTTCGTCCAACATCGACGACGCAAACGAGAAGCTCGACGGCTGGGAGATTCAATCAGCAGTCGCAACCACCGCCGCCGCAACAGCCGCAGCAGCATAGGCAGCAGCCGCAGCAACAGGCGCAGAGCTCCAACTCGTACTCGAACCAGTCACACACCGGCGGTGGCGGCCATCAGAACTGGTACGGTTTCACAGCGGTTGACAACCAGCCGTCCAACTACAACTCGTCGGCCGACGGGACCAATGCCTACTCCAACCTGGCATCTCACGCCCATAGCCACCAGACATCGCAGCAGCAGCAGGCGCAGCAGAGGTACATGAATCTGTCGAGCCACACCTACAGTAGTGGCATCGACGGCGGCGATCAAGCCTTGTATAATTTGCTACACAGCAGTCTTTCCGGTTGAAGCACTGGAGTAGATGGTTGCTACGTTGGCGTGTTGTCTTTATTTATCTGGCTTTTGATATTTTCGACCTATAGGTTTACACAGTGTTCCTCTTCTCGGCCTGGCGATGGTTACCGAGATATCCTGGATGACGAGCGGTGATAGTGGCAGACTATGGTCTCTCTACTTATTCCCTGTCTCCTTGATAGCTGGGATTGGATTGTGGGGTTTCTCCCGCCAGTGATAGAAATGGTCAAAGATGACTATGGCCGGGGTACTGCGACAACCTACCAATCTAGACTTACTTTTCCTTCGGCCTCGGGACAAGGGATGGAATGGTTAATCAATTTGGCGATGGGAGCGAAGGATGCACACATGCATATCAATGAATTATGTTAGGGTATGCTGAAGCCGGCGCTCGGGGGAGGGGGGCTGCAAGACCGGCTGCCCTTTTTGGGCGAAATCGGATCAAAAGCAGAGATGGAGAATATCTCTAGCTTGCCGCAAATTGCAGTGCGTTTTATTTCACTTATTTTTAGGCCCCTTTATTTGACTTTTAGGGAGCCAGCCCCGCAGAGGGAAAGAGAGGAGGAGACGGAACATGGGAGAGGAGATGGTAGAAATTCTATGGGCTTATTGCTCTCTATTTTTGCGTGCTTGATCCGTCCGTCGTCTTTGTCACCAGTGCGTGAGAAATATCTGTAGCGCCACTTCCAATCTGCCGCACTCAGAGTACGAAAATTTCAGTTTCGGAGTCTCGGTGCTACCAACAGGGAAAGTGATGTCTTGCATGCACGCGCCCCCAATGTTTTGTGAAAAGGGGTTGGCATATATAATGAATTACTAGGATACATTTAAATACATACAATACCATACGATGCTTTACCTTCGATTACTGAGTACGTACTAAGGTATCCGTCCAGCCTCCGCGAGTGTTTGCTGCCTCCTTGCTCACTGGTCTTCCACCACTTCATATGAATTATCTTGTCACTAATCATTACGTTTCTCGCGGTTAGCTAGGCTAGGCGGATACCTAGAAGATTCTCTTAGAATTGCACATATAGCACATACGGAAACAAAGACCCAAGACCTCCCTCCCAGTAGCTGTGTGAAGAAAGCAACTTGTCTTCGTACTTACTTACATACATACACACACAGCCCTAACCCTCGCCCCTCAACCCTTCAAATGCAGGGTGGGGGCCAAAACCGCCCCACCGTAATAAGGCAGGCTAACAGACATCGAATCAAAGCTAGGGGAATTTCCCAGCATGCCAACGGTTGTGTAGTGTAGCGGTTATCACTCTGGATTTTGACAAAGGTGCAAAGCGGCAAACCCGCCCACGCCCGGCTCTCAATCATTCCAGTAACCCCGGTTCGAACCCGGGCACGACCTTCACCTTTTTTATCTTTTTTAACTCCCTTTCTTCCTTCGATTCCTCTTTATCTCCTGTTTTAGTTAGATATTAATGAATTTCTTAATTATTTTTCCCATCCCCTTCCTTTCTCGTCTCTATTTGGTTCTTCGGGTGTTCTGGGAAAACAAAAAAAGTGGGGTTCTCCCATGACTCCTTTTATTGCCGACGTATGTTGACTTCCTTCCTCACCGTCATTAAAACAAAAGGACAACTACCTGCATCAGAACACGGAAACAAACTTGGGTTAACGCTTTTCAAAATCGGCTAAAGTCGCAAAGCCTGCAACTTCTCTCCAGGCAATAACAGACAGACAGACAGGCAGACAGACAGACAAAGATTTTGAAACGCCTGTAGTATCTTATGCAATTCCTCGTTCCCCTTCTCCTCGCCGTTATGTCTCCTGGAATGTCTTTTCGCAAGACCAGCCACACAACCATCCTCCCCGCCCCCTTTCTACAACGCTTCTGGGAACTTTTCCGTAACCGGCGTTGTCGAGCCTCTTGACTGTGACATACTATACGGTGCCTGGTTTGATTCGAATCGTCAGTCAAAATGATACCGGCCCTGCACGGAATTGAGAAGAGAAGAAAAAACTCACCAACACCTGTTTCGCATTGCATACACGCCATGCCAGCTTCTTCACGTTCCCATCGGCCGGGACGACGGCGGGAGCAAATTCAATGCCAAACATGTGGTGGATGGCATACACGACTCTGCGGGCATACTTGCTGTCCCTCTCTACGTGAGAGCCAAACGGCTCGTCCGCCGTATTTGGGGCAATTTCCGGGTCGCGATCGAGGCAGTTGCGGACGATGGGTAGAAGCGCTTCCTCGACGGCTTTCTCGCTGGCAGCACCATGGAGGTAGCTCACCACATCTTCGTCGTTGTCGTCAAACTTCCCAATACGAACCTCGAACGGCTCCGAGATGGACATGACGTTGTGGCCGCCACCGTGGTGATAGCGGAACTCGTAGACACCCTGCGTCCACCACAGCTTGTCTCCCTCAAAGACCATTTCACCCTGCACAAAATCGCCGTCGGGGCTCTTTGGGCCCGCCATCGGCTGATCCCACGAGATGATGCCCTGGTCCGTCGTAGTGTCGTATTCGCCAGCGCACGTTGGCACCCAGCGGCCGAGAGATGGTACTTCGGTAGACTCTCTCGAGCGATTGTCCGTCACCATGTAAAGACCCACCCAATCCTTTTTGCTGTGGTTGGCTGGCGCAGTCCACTTGACGTGGATAGGGGCACCATACTCAAAGACCTTTGTCTTGACGGCTTTGAGAACCCGCGCGCTGGCGCTCTCCTTACCTGTAGCCTTCTCACTAGCAGCCACAAGAGGCGTGCCTTCCAGCAGTATCCGATAGTGCTTGGGGTCGTATCCGGCGACGTCGGGAGATATCCGGCTGAGGGTAAGACGGGCGGGATACTTATTGAACAAGGCCGACGTGTCTCTTGCAATCGTCGAGGAGCCAGACGCTAGTCTTGCACGAGCAGCCTCGACAAAGTCGTCCACAAAGTGTCTGGTCTCATCCAGGACTTTGTCAACGCTCATCTGCAACTCCTTCACTTGTGGCGGCAACGACCGTTTGATAAATTTTGTCAGCCCGGCCTCGTCACGCAGGTTCCGGCCGTAGACCTTCTGCATGTGCGGCTTCTCCACATATGAGATGAACCCGAGGGTCAAGATATGACCAACAATGGCCATGAGAAATATGGAACGACTCCAGGTAATGAGTGCAGCGCCCCAAAGCCCTGCGGTGCCAATGACACGCTCGGGGTTGTTGAGAAACCGGTAGATGGACGTGTATGTCAGTCTGCCGGTGCTGTCGAGGAAAAAGTCGCCGTAGAACCACCCAAACTCGCCGAGGGACTCGTAAATGCTCGTGGCGGTCCAGATTTGAAGAGCAATCAAGCTAGCGCCTACGACGTGCTTCAACAGCACCCAGCCATAGTTCCAGTCCTCGGGGAAGTTATACATCTTCCAGCACGCGGCGATGAAAGACGCGTGGCATAGTGTGTTGCTTAAATGATACATTCCCTTCCATTGGCGCCACGCTTCTCCCGCACTTTCGCCATACTTGAGAAAGTGCCGGGTGAACATCTTTTCCTTGGACTGCATCGTCAGAATGACGCCTAGACCGACCGAGTACCACAGACGCCACAGCAATGCGTGAACTACAAAAAGGGCTTGGTACACGGGAGTGTTTGGTGTGACAAGTGCCAGGACCGAGAGATATCCCACAAGAAGCAAGACAGAATAGTCGGTTGTGCGAAAGAGATCAAGGTTCTTGAGACCCAGGAGGTTGTGGACCGGCACTGGGCTATCTCTGGAAGCGATTGAAGATACTGGCGTTTCAGATACAAATTCTTGCGAGAGGCTGCTAGTCTCTGACAAGCTCGACTCGGCCCGCAAGCGAGGCGGTGGTGGGTTGTACGTTTTCTCAATGTGCGGGTTTTCGACGATTGCCAGGAAGCCAAACTGGGCAGCATGGGCGAGGATGGAGATGAATAGCACGTCGTAGCTTGCAGCCATCATAGAGATGCCATAGTAACCAGCATAGCCAATGGAATACATGGGATGGGGCGCCATCTCGAAAACACCGTCAAAGGTGAGTTCCTGCTCGACAAGATAGAAGAAGTCTGATTTTGTCAGTCAAAAGTAAACGAGCCGCTTGGAAGAGAAGCATCAGCTTACCGCCCCAGTACCACGCGTAGTCTTTGACGACCCTGTGGGCGTCCAGCTTGACCCAGAGGTTGAAGCCAACCAGCGTAATTCCGGCGCCCCAACGGCAAAGGGTCATTCCGAGTGCCTCGCCCTCTGGCTTGTGGCCGCAGACTATGGCAAAAAGGCAGTACGATACGAAGTCACACATGAGAATCAGATCCACCACGCGACGGAATACGAGCCAGGTATTATACTCGAGGGGGGCTTCCTCGAATTTGTAGTCCTCGGGAATCTTGGCCTCGAGCTCCCCCTTAAGCAGGCTGTAGAGCCAGGGACGGGGATTTGCGCCCGTCTCTGGGTTCTCAAAGAGCCTCCACCTCCGGGCCCACGTCACCAGCAGCTTGTACTTGGACTGAACAGTCAACAAGTACCCAATGCCTACGTTATAGGACGCTCTCCAGAACAAGAAGACGACTGCGAAGACGGGGCGCTTCAGATTCGCCGGGAGGGCGTAGGCCGCCCATATATGGAGGGCGAGGATGAGGAGGACCAAGACATCGGACAAGTTCTTCGGTTCGCGGGGGTCGAGCAACTGCGACACCATGTCGTGAGTTGTGGGGACAACGAACACTGCAAAGATAGCGACATTTCGCTGTTAGCAAGGGCGCGTAAGGCAGGTGATGCATCGTGAGCGATTGAGGCAGCATTCCGTACCAGTTCCGCCCGGTGTCCGCCCGTATGTCTTCTTGGCCCGCGATTCAAAGCCATTAACCCCTTTCTCGACGGGTTGGGAGGCGCTGTGCGCTGCCTCCGCCCCCTCCTCCGATGTCGCCAGGGCTGGGCCACGTTGACGAACGCTGTCCAGCCCAGCAGCGGGCAAGTCGGCCGACGTGCTCATTCTCACTCGGGGTTGAATTCCGGGTTTGAGCTCGTAGCAAGGCGGGGGAAAGAATAAAAAAACAAGAGTTGAGCTTTGGTTGAGGTCAAACCATCACCTGGAGGTTTAAAGAGGGTTGGCGAGGGGAAGTGTGACCGAGACCGGGGTTGTTGATCTTGTGACCCTGCGATCCAAACCAACGGGAAGACTGCCGTAGCGCCAAGGTGGTGCTAGTTAGCTAGGGCAGTTTTAACCTCCCGTGCCGTGTCTCTAATCCAACAAAGACTTGGTAAATCAATGCAACCGTGGTTGAAGGGCAGTAGTGCTGAACTAGCTAGTGACTCTCAAGTTTTAACCGTCAAAAAGCCAACTTGTTGTTTTCTAGGGTGCGTTGGAATAAGTAGCACTTGCTATCGTGTCAAATTACTTGAAACCTGGAGAGAAACACACACCCTTGGTCGCAAAGTCGACCAGGGTTCCTGTATTTTTATTTCACATGCTAGAAAAAATGTGTGTGGGCATCCACTCCGTTTCCGTCATTGACCAGTCGGCGTGGCCACGGGGGCAATGGAGTGGGTTGATTCGTTTCCGACGACCCGCATGCCGTGGGAAACCGTTGGGGGTGAGCTCGAGACACCCTGTGTTACGCTTCCCGCATATTCCATGACCTACCAAAGGCACCCCAGGGCTGCAGATCTGCAGTGGTGGAGGGTATCTTTTCAAATTGGAGGGACCCTGAATCCGGACTGCTGGGTGGACGAATTGCCGATGCAGGTACCGGAGAGAACTGCGCTGTGAGCAACGGGCACAGTCAGATTCGACGCCTTGGCTTGGAAAACAGGGCAGGCGCAGGCAGCAACAGCTCCTGCCTATTCGGCCAGTGGGTACCAGTGTGCGGAATGGGACTACTAAGGTAAGCAGTCTTGGAGGCGGGATTACATACGCCGTACGGATTACAGCGGCTTAGGAAGGAAGTCGGCGCAGTAGGTCCCTCGTGCCCATCATCACGTCGAATCAATCAACGCCACATGAAAGCGGCTCACGCCAATTCCATTTTCACCTGCAAGCAGTCGCGACCGACGCGTTTGATTGGATTTTCATGCTTCAGGAGTCAGGATGCACCATGATCGATTGCCGACTCGGGATGGCTGGCCAAGAGAGCACGGCGACGAGGCTAAGCGACCAACGCCGGAGATGGACGGGTGCATCGCATGAATTTGGGAATTACCAGCGTCGGACTATCGAGCTGGGTGAAAGCACTGTCCCTGCACCCTGGTTCTCCTTGTTTCTATAAGTCGGCGTGTATGGCGTTTTTGGTCTTGCGTCCGTGTTTCTCTTGCGTGTTATATTATGTATATTGTTTTTTCTGTTTCTTGCCCATCACAGAGTCCAGCATAATCTCACTCTTCAACTTAGAACCTCGTCTGGTCCAT